AACAAATTATATCTGTTAAAAAGGAAGCTAGTGGATTGTCAGTTAGGAGAAGTTACTAAATTGAAGGTACTGAAGGTTGAGGAATTGATTAAAGCCATTGAGGAGACTTGGGATAGGGAGGAAGTGTATTGGTGGCAGCGATCTCATATTAATTGGTTGAGGAGTGGGGATCATACTACTAAATTCTTTCATAGTTCTATTATCCAAAGGAGGCAGCGAAGTAAGATTGTTCATCTGAAGAATAATGTAGGGCAATGGATTTAAGAGCAGGGCGATATAGATGAGGCTTTTAAGATCTTTTATAAGGATCTTTTTACTTCGGGTTGGTTTGTGAATATGGATAATGCCCACTTTTATGTTAAAAGGGTGGTTAATTTTGAGGACAATGAGGAATTGGTTAAACCTGTAATAGAGGAGGAGATTGAGAAGGCTGTGTTTCATTTAGATGCTTTTAAAGCACCTGGTCCAGATGGTTTTCCTGCTTTATTTCAGAGTTCCTGGCCAGATATTAAGTTACAGGTTTTTAAAATGGATCAGGATTTTTTTGGTAATAAAAGTTCTATATTAGATCTGAATTGGACAAATATTGTTTTGGTGCCGAAGGTCGATAAGCCGGAGGGAGTGGGTCAGTTTAGATTGATTGGATTGTGTAATGTTTCCTATAAAATAATTTCAAAAATTATGACACTGAGGATGAAGGAGTTAATGAATAGGATTATCTCACCTTCTCAATGTGCTTTTGTGTCTGGTAGACAGATTCAAGATAATGTGGTTGTAATACATGAGGCATTTCATTATCTATGAAGGAGGAAAACTGGGAATAAGTGGGAAATAGCTTTGAAGGTTGATATGAATAAAGCATATGATAGGGTGGAATGGGGAAGAGAGGTGATGTTGAAGATGGGGTTTGTAGGTTATGGGTGGAATGGGTGATGAATTGTGTTAATACAATGGCCTCTAATTTGCAAGTGTCTGGTAGAAGACTTGCAGAGTTGAAACTGGAGAGAGGCATAAGACAAGGGGATCTGTTTTCCCCTTATCTTTTATTATTGTGGCTGAGGTGCCGTCTTTGATGATTTAGTACCACATTAATAATGGTGAGCTCATGGGTATTAAAATTGCAAAGAAAGGCCCTGTGTTATCACGTTGTTTTTTTTTTTTTTTGCTGATGATTCTTTATTTTTTATAAATGCACGGATTGATAATTGTTTTTTTTTTTTTTTTGTAGAAGATTTTAGATGTGTACAGTGCTGCTTTGGGTCAGTTGGTTAATTTGGAGAAATCTTGTGTATATTTTTCTGCTAATATATCATCAGATAGTAGGTTGGAAATTGCTCAGGCTCTTGGTGTGAGGTGTTCAGAAGATCCTGGAAAATACTTGGGGCTACCAGTAGTTTGGGGGATCTAAAGCAGTTGCTCTGGCATATGCGAGAGATAAGGTGGGGGCAAGCTTATGGGGTGGAAGCAAAAGCTTCTTTCTTTTGCTGGTAGGGAGGTTTTGATTAAAACAGTGGCGAATCTATCCTCGTGTATCCTCTGACATGTTTTTCATTTCCTAAGAAAACATGTGTTGTGATTGATAGACTTGTATCAGATTTTTGGTGGGGGCAGAAGGGGGAGGAGGGATGTATTCACTGGAAGAGTTGGAAGACTCTTACTGTGTCTAAAGCGGAAGGGGGTACGGGGTTTAGAGAATTACAAGCTTTTAATAAAGCTGTCTTGGCTTGGAGACTTTTGACAAAACCTGATGATTTTTGGTGCAGGTTGATTAAAGGGATCTATTTTCCTTATTATGATTTTTTATCAGCAAAGAAAGGAAGGAAAGCTTCTTGGTATTGGTCTAGTTTGTTGGAAGGGAGGGAGTTATCAATGAAGCAATTGACGTGGAAGGTTGGTAATGGAAGGCAAATTAAGGGGTGGGGTAGTCAATGTGTCTTGGGGCTTGACTCCTTTAAGCTAAGACATAAAGCGGAAGATACTGTTGAAGAAAGTTTAAGGGTGGCTGATTTAATTATTGAGGGGAAATGGCAATTATCGAGTATTGAGCGTAAAATTTTTGATGTTGAAAAAGATGAGATACTTAAAATTCAAATACCCAGAGTAGCTATGGAAGATAGGGTGGTCTAGATGGGGAATATAGATGGAGAATATACAGTGAAATCTGGCAATCATTTTGCAAAAGTTAATGATATTAGGTTGTTGATTAAGAATCCTGGATCCTCTTTGCAAGTTCAGAAGCAAACATGGAAGCAAGTCTGGAAGCTGATTGTGCCTCTTAAGATTCAGCATTTTATCTGGCGTTTGTTGCATGATGCTGTAGCGACTAAGGATGTTTTATTTAGAAGGAAATGTGCAGATAATTCGGTATGTCTTATTTGTGGCTATGAGAATGAAACATTAGAACATATGCTATTTTTGTGTCCTTAGGCTGCAAAATGTTGCTTTGGTTGTCCTTTGGGATTCTGTTTTTTATAAGAAGAATGTTACTAATGTTAAGAACTAGTTTATTGACATGTTTGGGAGTAATTTGATTTTGGATGAGTATGGGAAAGCGTTGATTGCTTCTATGTGTTGGTGGGTTTGGAAGTTTAGATGTAGATGGGTGTTTAGTAGTGTGAAGGTGGATTCTGAGGAGGTGTTAAGGCTGATTTCCACACTGGTTGATGAGTTTTAGAAATCTAGATCAGGATGTGACAGTAATATGGCAGGCTTGAAGACTAATGGGGGGTTAATGCAAAGAGGAAGGAAGTTGCAGTGGGAAAAGCCTCTTGTAGGGTGTGTTAAATTCAATATTGATGGGGCTTGGAATTTTAAGTCTTTGGCTGCTAGTTTGGGTGTGATTTGTAGGCATTGGAATTGAGTATTTTTAGGAGGTTTGAGTAAAAGCTGTGTTGCTGAAACCTCTTTCATGGCTGAATGTTATGCTTTGTTGGAAGCATTCAGATTGATGGAAAGGTTTAATGGGCAGAAGGTTTGCTTTGAGCTAGATTGTGAAATGCTTTTTGATTTGATGATGAAGGATTCTGTGGTAGGTTGTGAGTGGCAGAGTCAATTTCCGGTTTCAGAACTTCTGCAATTGAAGAGCTCGATGGAGGATATTTGCTTTTCCTTGGAGTCTCGCCAAGGCAATAAACCTGCTGATTATTTGGTGGGATTGGCTAAAAAAGGGATGAACCATGACGCTATTGGATAATGGTTCCTTCATCCTCTGTCTTTTTTCTTGTCTTTTGATTTGAGATTGCAAAAGTGCTCTGGTTCGCCTTGTTTTGTTTTGAATGTGAAGAAGGGTATTGGCTGAGCTTGCTTTAGTTGGTTTTGCTGTTTGCTATTTTTTTTTTTTTTGTTTCTATTTCTTTTTTGTTGTTTTCTTTTTTGGTGAGTTCTGTGTTAGCTTGTACTTCTAGATTTTTTGAGTGTTTTCTTTGGCTTCGTTATTGGTATGTGTAATTTTGTTTTGTTAATGATTAATAAAATTGACTTTGTTTGACTTAAAAAAAAAATAGAAACTCTATGACGATATGAACTTTAATTTCCCATCGATATTTTAGGTTTGAATAATTTGATCTCATTGATCTTAATTAAGTATACATAATCTACATTCTTTAATGGTATGTTTGGATCAGTGAGAACTTGTATTTGGATTTGATAAAAATTCCTCATTTCAATGCATAAAAATTTATAAATTTAGATTTGATTTAAATAAATTTAGGGTCCCCATTTTTCCTGGAATTACTTTGTAGGGGCCAATTTTTTTTTTTTTTTTACAAAGTCCTATTTTTCAAATCATGAAACATCTAACCGTACTATCGTTATATTATCTTGACTGCTCATGAAGCTTGTGACATAAAATGTAAGAAAAAACGAATCCAAAATTGTTCCTTTTAGGTGGTTATTTAGCCAATAGCAAAGCTAGGAGCTAGAGTCAGCGGTGCAAAATAATTTAAAGTAAAAAATTAATATTTTTTAAAAAATAATAATTACACTATGACTACAATTGTAATAACAAAAGTAAATTAATTACTATTTTTTATTTTAAAAAACCCCCCAAGTGAGAGGTTACATTTGTCCGTCCTCACCACAAGGTGGCTCGACTGCTAGTAATTTAGCCATCTGTGAAGAAGACTATTTGGCATATAAACACTGTACATAGTATCATGGATTTATAACAGAATTAAGAATTACAATTTAATTCTGTACAAACTAAAGTCATCATGGATTTAGAACAGAATTAAGATATTATTTTAATTCTAGAGCAGAACTAGGATATTAATTCTCAATAACAAAGATATTATTTTAATTTTGTACAAACAAAGTCATTCAACATGGAAAGTGGATGATAACCCGAACTTTTTCATTCACATTATAGTTTTGGATGATTTGAACTCATTGACTTGTCAAATCAAATTTTATTTCTCATTATCATTGAAATTGAACGCACGAAATCTTTAACGTTCACGAAAAATCTTCCATGCTTAATCAAAGAAATAAAAACCACTGATATGTTCTATCCAGTTTGTCTCTCTCCACTTTTTTTCTCTCCCTATTTTAACTATTGTTTGACCTTGTATTAAACGGAGTTTAAAAAAATTGAAATGTGTTGATAATAATTTGATGAAGAGTGTAGCTTATTAAAGATTACGAATTTTATGTGTGTGTGTAGATCATAAATGAGTCCAAGTACAATCACATAGAAAAACACAATACTCATGATTATTTTTTTAAAATTATTCAAACTTTTTTTTTTTGTATATAGAAGAAATAAGTTGAGAGGTGTCTATTTTTTAACCCTCCGAACCTGAAGGTAGACTAATTTCCATTAGTAGTTTAAATAACGCAAAGAAGACTGGAATTACATTTCCAATTTGAATCAAACTCTCAAAGAATCAATCCACACTATCTATTATTAAATAAATATTATAAATGCCTGAAAGTCCAAACCTACTAGCCGCCCACTTTGTATTATAAATTGAAAGAATTGTATATATCTACTGTGAAATAGGCATCGAACCAAACTAATGGCTTCCAAGAGGCAGTCTCTTGTTTTGGTGGTTCTCTTTCTTTTTGCGTTGCTTTCTGCTGAAGCATTGCCCAGAAAGCTAGGGAATGCTTCGGGTCTTCATTTTTGTAAGTGATGCTTCGTTTTTGTTATATATCTATGATCTGGCCTTTATTTATACAAATACACATTTAGACTCGATTTATATAGACTATCATCTTTAACATTTTTTTTATATTCTCCCTGATTTATAATTTACGTAGGGCATTTTTAAGAAATCTTGCTTGATCGAAAATGTAGGGTATATTAGGTAGTTCTTTTAATTTTTGTTACTATATCCTCACTTCATTTATTATTTAATTTTTTTAAAAAATAGTTCATTGGAATTTCAGTTTTCATTTTTAATACACTTATGAAGGGCACTTAATGATGTTATAATTGAAAATATATATGTACATTTCTCAAAAGATTAAGATTTTTATATCTGAAAAGTTATTACCAATGCTATATTATGAACCGAAGGAGTAATTATAATTTATGTTTGGAGAAAATATCACTCTAGGTCCCTATATTTTAATAGAGTTTTGTTTTTAATGCCTGTGATTTATTTTCATTGTTCTTCATCCCTTATATTTTATTTGTCTATAATGTTAGTCCTTCTAATTTGAAAAATACTCAAATAAGAACCATGGGATAGGTTAAATGGTGTTTATTTTGCTACTCTTCTAATCCTATTTATAATTATAAATCACTTCTAACATGTTTCACCAGTACCAAGGAAAAACTTTAAAACTCATTAACTCTATCATAAAATTTAATGAGTTTTCAACTTTGCCCCTATTAAATATATATAATTCAATTACACATTTTCTTTTTCCAATATTCAATGGAGGGTAAAAGAGGAAAGTTGTGATAAAATTTTAGTGACGTGACTTATAAATAAGATTGAAAAAACCTTCCTCTTTCTGCCCTATAAATAGAACTAGAGGGAGTAACTGACATAATATAGTTAGCAGTTCGGCTGACCCAAATTGCTTCCAAATTAAATCGTCGCATGATGAAACAGCGTTGAGTCCTTATCGACAAAATAAACACCATTTAGGCTAGCTCATGGTCCTTATGGGTATTTTTTTAAACTAGAAGGATTAAAATTACATATGAATTAAATAAAGGGAAATGAGGAACAATGGAAATAAACTAAACATGGACTAAAAATAAAACACAATTAATTATAAGGACAATTTGTGATATTATTATAATCCCTTATGATTGTGTAAAATCAGTGAAGTTTTCTATGCATTACATGCAATTTGTAAAATGAGTTATAGTTCATAAATTTTAAACCATGCCGCTTGCAATAGTTTTTTATATATTATTTGTTGACCTTTGGTTTAAATTAGGTGGAGTAATTAAATATTAATTTGATCGGGCTTTTGAGGCAATTTACAAAAAAAAAATGATAATAGCTAGGTCTATGTAAGATAATCGATCCCAATAAAAATCTAAAGAAGAATTCTCATGGAATCCTCTCTGTAACCATTTTCTCGTTGACTCAACTCACGAGAAACTCTGAGAGAAAGCCAAAAAGAAAAATACCCAATTTCTTTTAAAACTGTTTGCTGGGATGATTTAATATTTCATAGGGCTATTGAGATTGATTTAGTAAAAAATAAAAATAAAAGGAAAAGGAAAGAAAAAGGAAAAGGAAAAAGAAAAGAACATAATTTGTATAGTTAGTTTTTAGGGGGAGGTTTGGATAAAATAATCGATCACAATATTTGTTCCGTCTCGTAAAAAAATAGAGTGAATTTCTCTCTGAATCCAATTTCGTCTCGTTGACTTTCCTCACATCACATGGCATTCATTGAGAAAACATCTGCATTATAGCACGAAATTAAAAGCACCAATGCTTCATACATTATATTTCTATATATATATATATATATAGACACACACACAGAGTGATAATATCAGTACATTGATTGATTTACTTTTCTTTTTTATTATCCAAAAATGAAGAAAAATAATAGTTCAATTTTTGTTTTATCTATAGATTCACAAGAGGGAAGGATACTTGCCACCCAAGCATCTGGCAATCGATGTTTGCAAAGAGTCACATCACATGATAATCCTCGTTGCCACAATTATTAACAATAATAATAAATTAATAACAATATAATGCTTATGATCTATTTATAAATTCATTGTCTAAATAGTTATTTTGTAAATTGTAATGTTATTACAAACCCAAAGGGCTCCACACCTGCTTGTTTCAAATTATATACCAAGTGTGTAATATTTTTGAAGAGTTCTTTAATTATTTACGAAGCTCCTACACTTTAAAATTAATATAAACGTGCCAGCAGGGTTCAATACATGTCTGATACGGTTTCTTTATGATACACGTCAATATTCTATATTTTTATTATCATATTTTTCATTAAAACATATTTATATTACTTAAAAACTTAAAGAAGTAATATTTTCATGGGTAAATGAGTAAATTATCCTTGAACTTTAGGTTTAGTAACACTATAGACCTTGAACTCATTTATTGTGCAAATTTTTCTTTCAACTTTTGAAAACGGTGTAGTCTAACATATGCTATTAATAAAAGTTAACTTTAACCATTCATTAAAAAAATGATAAAAAAAAGGGCATTAAAAATTATAGAGAAAAGGTTGGATCCTTTATTGTAATTTTTTGATCTTTTTTTATAATTTTTGAGGTCATTTTCTAGTTAACTAATGGTCAAAGTTAAGTTTTGTTGATGATAGAAGTTAGATTGCACAATTTTCAAAAGTTGAGAGAACAATTTTGCACAATAAACAACTTGAGGGTCCATGGTGCTACTTAATTTAAAGCTTAGGGGATAATTTGCTGATTTACACTATTTTAATTTGGCTATAAATATGTTTACATTACTTTACAAATTCTTGTTTAAGATCATACTTTACCTCACTCTTTGCCTGCAGCTTTATCCTCTTTATTTAAATTCAATTAAAACGTTGTGCTATGAACATTAAAACTTTAGTTATTATAAATTGACTCCGTCAAATATAAAATATCCGGTCCATGGACGACCAGCAAATGTGAAGAATGCTAATTAAGAATATAAATATTGTATTCATCATGGATTCATAACACAATTAAAGTCATTCAACACGGAAACTGGGTGACGACCTGATGAAATCACTCATCAATATTATAATTTCAGACAATTTGAACTCATTGATCTTTTAATTTTAATTTTTTAATGTGTTAATTGAAATAATTATTTATCATATTTTAAAATTTTGTTTTTTACGTACAGAAAATATAAGACCTAATAATCGGTCAAAATTTAACATAAACTAGCATATCTTACACATCTTTATTTATCTAGACTCTTATTACAAATCTATTGAAACATGGTTCACGGGTCAAAATTGAAGTCATGAACAATCACATGCGTTAAGGAATCAAAAAAATTCTAAATATGATGAAATTAGAGTAAATTAATAAAAAGTTTATGTGAGCTTTTATTAAAATTATATAAGTGCTTATTGTTAAAAATTAAAAGGAAAAACTCCTAATTATTAGAGTACAACACAAGATGTCTCATATCTGAACGTAATAAAAAAAATACGAGGGGTATATAAACTTGTTTAAGCTATTTTAGTATAATATTTTTTTTGGACCAAATTTGAGTATAATAGTTGAGTCCAAACACAATGAAATACAAAAACTAAACACCCATGAGCCTTTGGAAAATTACACAAACCTTTTTCTAATTTTTAGAACCTACACAAACCAACTTATCTTACAAACAAAATGAAGCAAACTTCGTCAAAAAAAATATAGATTTTAATAATTGATGACATATTTGTGTAATTTAATTTAACGAAGTTCTCGAGAAATATTTTTGTATAAACTTTTTACCTACTTTGAAGTATAGCTTTTATGGATTTTAAAAATGGAAAAAGATGGAAAAAGATGTCTGTATGTAGAGTTTAAAAAAAGAGTAAAAACTTATAAGAGTAAGAGTAATTTGGTTCTTATTTAAAAGAAAAAATGTAGATTTTTTTCCCTTTGGTTACGTTGTGATTTAAAAATAAACCAGTTATCAGTGTAAAAAAATTCATGAGAAGCGGGAGCAAATCTGTTAAATAATAACAATTACTTCTAGACTTTTTTACAAGAGTCTTTTTTTTTTAGTGAAAAATTTCCCATTGTTCCTTGCATTTGTTAAAAATTTCCTTTTTTTTTCCTTTGAAAAAAAATTAAATTTCAAATGTATTTATTATTGTCTGTGCGAAACAAGTATTTGTTTCTTATGAAGAAGTGCTTAGGGAGTACATCAGCCCCTAGACTTAGATTGGAATCAAAGACTGAGTGAAAGAATCAATCCACACTTTCTGACCAAAGCATCCATTATACATATTGAAGTATCAAAGAAATGTAAAACTAATGCCTGAAAGTCCAAAACTACGTACCCACCGACTTTAATTTGTGTTATAAATTGATTGATTGAATTTATGAGCATTGTGAAATACAGATATCGAGCCTATCTATAATGGCTTTCAAAAGGCAGTCTCATATTTTGGGGGTTCTCTTTCTTTTTGCTTTGCTTCTTACTGCTGAAGCATTGGCTAGAAAACTTGGTGGTACTTCTGATCTTCAAATGTGTAAGTGATATGTATATACTTTGGTTTTGCCAACCTGAAATGGGAGGAGGGAACAAATGAGTAAGATAATAGAAGGACACTACATCTTAATCCAAAACGTTATGACTTGAGTTTATGGATTTTTTTCTTTATTTTATACTACATTCTCTCAAATTATGAGATACTTTTGGAAAAATTTGACGTCCCAAAATATAAGACATTTTGACAAAAATAAAGTTCATTCTTTTTCAATATTACTCTTCTCATGTATTCTCTCTATTTAATATTCTTTCACAAATAGATCATTAAATGAAGAGCATTTTTAAAAGTTTATATTTTTATTTGGAAAATGTAAGGTATATTTATTGAGTTTTATTAGTTGTGTGATTTTATCTAAAAATATATGGGATGGAGGGAGTATTAGTCATTAAGCATAATTTTATTCAATGTGAAACTTTCCACATTATTTTAAGTCAACTTACACTTTGATATCCTAACAAACCATCTTCTCTAGTATGAGTCCACAAACTCCCATATCTCACAGTTAAGGGAAAGATTATTAGTTTGTGTAAATGTGAGTGGACTTAAGCTAGAAGCATAAGTGTGAGTCCACAAGTTTTCCAAATCTCACAGTTGAGAAGAGATTGTTACGTTGTTTAAGTTTGAGTGGACTTAAGCTAGAAGCATAGTGAGCCTATAACCCACAAGTCTCTTTATTGAATCCTAACTCTAATGTTAATTTGTTAGAAATGGAGAGCAGCTACCCATAAACTATGAGAGAAAACAAATGGAAGAAAAGTAGCAGAAGGATATCATATTTTAACTAAAACATCATTACTAGAATTTATAGATCTTTGTCCTTTGTTATTACATTTTAGTTATTAAGCCTTACTTTATCCACTTCCACATTGATTTAAATCCACTCATATTTGGATAACATAACATTCAAGTTTAATTTTATCGTGAATTACATAAAATTTGGGGAATAATCTGTACTATTTATAACTTATAAATTACACAGGTTGCAATCATTGTAAAAATATTATTGGCATTTTGATTGCTTGAAATAATTAACCTTCTGAAATTGACAACAATGATATAGTATATACCACATAAAAAACTTCTTTTTTTCTGGTAGGGAAGAAAATGTTGATAATTTCTTATAAGAGACCTAAATGTCATTCTTCCTTGATTTTATTATCTATAATTTTTTTGATAATTTGGTTTCATTTACTTGTTTGATCCTGTGATATTTTGAAGTTTATTTCTCTTTGCATCTTTTAAAAATATTCTTTTAATGCTAATAATTAATAACTTGATAAGTGTTATGGAAAATCAATAATGTAGGTATACTAATTAAGTTTTTTAGGAAAAATAAATGAGTTAATTATTTTAAAGTATAAAACACTTTGTTACCCCCTCCAATATATATTTCTAACGGATTCACAAGAATTTAAAAAATCAGCTAAATTAGATTTTAGCAATAAATGTGTCAATATTTTGTGCTATTTTTCCACAATTATTATCCCTACTTAATTCCCTAGCATTTAATAGGATATCTAATTTTTAGTGAATTGAAAATCTTGAACATTAGTTAATGGTATTTTGATGGAGAAAAATGTAGGACAATCGAAAACAATAGATGTGTTCTTATATAAATGATCAAAGCGAACTGCTCAAAAGGGTCAGATAATCACATTAATTAGATGCATATCAATGTGTATATCTACATATTTACTTGGTATATATATATATATATATATTACTAAGTTAGTAAGTACTCCCTCTAAACTACAATATAGTTATTATTAATTATTTATGTTTTTTAAACAAAGTTGGTTAAAATCTTAATTTTCTAAAATTTTTCACTTTTTCTAATTGTGCCATTGAGTATAATAAATAATATAACATTTAACTCATTCAAAACATCCTCATTAATTACTTAATAAAGTAAGGGTGTAATTGAAAAAAAATAATACCCACCAAATATATTATATTTTGGACCAAGTAAAACTTTTAGAAACAAATTATGTTGTAGTACAGATGGAGTAAGTAAAATAGGTCCAAAGATGATGATTTAGATTTGACATTCATGCACATAACCCAGTTTGTCTTACACTGTTTGGCTGGAATAATAAGTTTATATTGATTGGATTTTTAAGGCAGTTTTTACAAAAGAATTATATATATTGATATTGATGTATATATGCATGTGTATGTGTATCCTGATATTTATTTATATCTACTGTACAAAATGAAGTCAGGTAATATTTAAATTCTTTTTCTTTCAATAGCTTCACATGAGGGAAGGATACTTGCCAACAGAGGACCAGTCAATCGATGTTTGATAGGCGAAGGACACCACCTAAAGATGCTCCTCGTTGCCACAATTATTAATAACATATTAACAATGAAATTGTTGTGGGAAAAGAAAGATATTAATTATTAAGAACCAAGTAAACAGTTATTTAGTTATCTTTGTAATTTATATGCTTGTGTTTCAAATTATTTTATGAGAATTATGGAAGTTGGAGTTTGGGTGGATGGATTTAGATTTGAATTTTAGATTTAAAATATTAAATTTAAATTTTACATTTAAAATGTATGCATTTAAAATCCTTTATTTGAATAATA